CTAAGGCCACAGTGGCTGGTGATAAGCTTGATTGTGCTGTGACTTTAACCCCTGTGCCACCAAATCGGCCGAAGACCTCAAATACTTCGGTCTTATATGATGACTACATAATGTACATTTTTGATTCATACTATAATGCAATGTCTGGCATATCAATCACATGCCACTGTTTTTGAGAAAAACTATTTACAAAATAAGAAGAAATTTTCATCAATACATTGCAAGAAGAAATTCTTTCAGAAAAATTAATGTACTTAACAGAACTTCAGGGAAATATCTTTAATAGTTTGGAGATAACCAATTGTCCTAATATAATTTTTTTACAAAGTACATCTTTATAAAATTGCAATGATTTCCACTATTATAATGTAAAAACAATTAAACATCTCTGTCAGATACTAAGAATTTATGATATAAAATAGCTTAATTGTACACTATTATTTGATCAAGCTAGAGACAAATGCTAATTTCTAATTCATTACTAACAGCTCTGTATTTAGAAGTATATAATTTAAATATTGTTTAAGTGGGGCCATGAGATGTGACCTCTACCACACAATATGAAATTACATGAAAAGGAGTTTTTAAATGAATATGAGCCAGACCTGCTGATGGCCTTATTAAATTTTGAGGCAATGTCATGTAATAGGAGTCATGGAATGAAGAAACTTTAAGTATTTTCATACTCAGTCTTCAAGTTCTGGATAGTTTAGCAAAATGACTAGAAACACCTCCAGACTCATTCATAGATAAATATATTAAACACTCTTTCATTATCAGTTGTTTACATCAGAGAAAGAAAAAAAAAGCAATATAATTAGAATTTTCCTGAGTCTTCTGAACCTAACTCTATTACCTAAGACAACAGAGATGGTTGTCTTGCCTATATTCACCAGTGACAAATGAAATAACACTGATGGAAATTTTAAAATATCCTAGCAATTTGATTGTTAGACTATTTTTTTTTTTAAAGAAAACAGCAGCCAGTAAGAATTGCCTTCCTCTAAGTAACTTTAAAAGTGAGTTCTTTTCCCTTGAAAGTGCCTTTTTGTGTGAGGATATTTACCTAATTTTTCTTAATTTTATTCATACTTGTAGATATAATAACTTATTCACATTTCTACATTCTTATATATCTTCATTATTTGAAGATTTTATAAGCATATTTTCCTAAAGTAAAGGCCACATGCTTTCATTTTTTTCCCTATTACTCAGAATATGCCCAAGAAACTGACAGATCTAAAAGAAAAAAAATGGATGTAAAATTAGCACATATTCCATGTTTCAGTAGGAAGCAGACATGAAGGAAGGTTAAATAAGGGGTTGTTTCTGAAATATGGTGTACATAAGATGTAAAAACATATAAACAGTTTTTTAATTGTCACACTGGTTTATAGCATTACATACATTTTGGATACACAACATTATAAATCAACATATGTGTATATTATGTTATATTTGCTGCCAAAATTTTAGTTTCTATCCATCACCATAGAAATGACTCCTTTTACCTGATGAACCCACTTATCTTCCCCTTCTCTTCAGGTAACCATTATTTTGTTCTTAAAATCTAAAATTTGGTTGATCTTTGATTTTAAATCTTGATATTGTTTATCTACCATACGTAAGTTGTTTTTCTTTCTAACTTATTGTACTTAGCATAATATCCTCTTGATCACTACATGTTCTTGCAAATAACAGGATTATAAACTTTTTAGACCTGAAGAGTATTTTACTGTGTATATATACTTTATCCACATATACACTGATGAGCACATATATTGTTTCCACACATACTGACTTGAAAATATTGCTTCCATAAATATGGGATGCAGTCATCTTTTCAAATGAATGTTTTCATGTTCTTTGGGTACTCAAATGTTGGCTAATTGTATTATAAGATATTTCTATTCTTAATATTTTGGGTAATCGCCATACCATTTTCCATAGTGGCTGTACCAATCTACAATCCTACCAACAATGTACAAGGTTGTCCCTTTTCTCCACATCCTCTCTAACACTTGCTTTTCTTATATTTTGGATAATAGCCATTCTCGCAAGTATAAATAATTTCTCATTGTTATGATTTGCATTTCCCTAATAATAAGAGATGATGAAGATCATCCCATCCTGTTGGTCATCTGTATGTCTTCTATGGAGAAGTATCTATTCAGATCCTCTGCTCATCTTCTATTTTTTGAAGTATTTATTTATTTTAGACTCTTAAGTTTCATTGATTTGCCACTAGTTTACATCACTGTGTAATTTTCAGAGTACAACTTAATACTTCCCTATGTTCCTTCCCTATATTGTGACTCACTTACTCTCCATCAAAACTACAGTACCACAATCATGTCACCTTCCCTCCTTAAGCCCCATATCCCTCTCCTCCAATTCTTCTAGTAACCAATATATTATGCATGATCTAAGAACTATTCTCTAGGTCTTTCCGGTTTGTTCTCTTTGGTTATTTATATTCCACAAACATGTGAGATAATCCAGTAACAGTCTTCAATTTCCTAGTTTTTTTTTTTTTTTCACTTAGCATAATCACATCAAATTCTATCCATTTTTGTCCCAAAAGGGCTATTTAACTTTTTTTTTAAAGATTTATTTATGCGTACAAGAACTGGGGTATAGGCCAGAGGTGTGTGGGGGGGTGAGAGGATTCACCAGAGACAGAGTGGAGAACAGCACAGGCAGACTGACTGAAATACACTGCTGAGGGGAGCAGTGGGCAAGTCAGGAGAGGTCTGCTTCGCCAAGTGGGTCACCTCCCTGGCCAGGGATCGAACTCATGCTGCAGTGGCTATAGGTAACTTCATAGTGCTGCCTCTTAACTCCTTGCACCATGAGGGAGACCCGGTATTTATCTTTTTTAATAGTTAGTTATTATTACATTGAGCATGTATTCCAGAAAATTTTAATCTAATCTATGTCTTGCCTATTGTGAATAATGCTGCTTTGACCATAAGGCTGCATGACTCTTCTTTTCATATTAGTGTCTTCATATTATTTTGGTAATATATAGCAGTTGTATTGCTGGATATGGTATTTCCACTTTAAGTCTATTGCCCTTTATTTTTTAATTTCATTCATCTTCTCTTTGTGTTTTTTTTTTTTTAATATTTGCAATCTCTTCAGCATTGAATTCTCACTGTTCATCTATTTCTTTCCTGAGATCCTGCACCTCCTTTTTTCTATTTTCCTGTTTTTTCACAGTTTCATTGAGTTTTCTTAAAATTGCTACTCTAAAGTCCTTTTTCTGTTAGATCCTCTAATTCCATTTGTGTAGTGCAGGGTTGTTGTGGAACACTAAGAGGAGGACAAAAATCATTCCTGGTGCCAATTGAGAAGCAGATCTTTCAGCACTCCCTGCAAGGAAAGGGGAGGTGATTCCCATGCCCACACTACTTGCTGGCAGCCAGATATTCCACAATTGGATTCAACAATCCCAGTGAGCATGGACAAGATCTACACTCATTGCTCTTGCTGAGTCTATATGCCCCTCTCCATCTACGCATGAAACCTGGCTTGTTGGACTGACTGGCATGGCTATTGCCCTGTCCACAACTCCTTACCTGTTTGCTACTCAGTGCACTAGTGAGTCATGAACCTCAGAGCAAGACATGCATGTTTTGGTTTCCATTGTTAGTGTTAAACTGATGATGTGTTCTGTGACCAAAATACAGTTTTTCTATACTTGCATTTAGGGCAGAGTTTTAGCACAACCTCCTATTCTGGGGTATGTGAGTAGAGGTTCTGTCCATATTTTAATTATGTTACTTGTTTCTTTTTTGTTGTTGAATTTCATGAACTCATATATTTGGGTTATTAATTCTTTTTCTGATATAATGATTCACAAATAACTTCTCCCCTTCAGTAGGAGAATTTTAATTTTAATTATGGTTAAAATACAATCTGTGGCCTGCTTTAGTTTTTGCTAATATGCTACCCTATTTTTCTCCTTGCTAATGAATTATTTTCTTTTCCTTTTTTTTTTTAAGGTCATCAGTGTGCCTAGCTTCAGGATATGACTATAATTGGTATAATCCAGGGATGATTATCTCATCTCACTTTAACACATATCAGCTTTCTCAACTCTCCTTTCTGCTACATTGCCTAATATAAACCAGTTCTATTAGGAGACTGGTTTTTCACTCAGATAAAAAGAAAGAGAATCAACAAACATAAGCATCCTTGTTTTCCTACCCTTTCCATCTGTTTACATTCAGACTTGAAATGCAGTTATGAGGCTTATGCCTTTAATAGTCACTAGCACCAGCAGTAAAGTATTGGAATAATAGTCAAATTACAGATAAAAGAATATAGGGGCAGAAGAAATTCAAGGTAATATACTTGAGCTGCCAAACCAAGCCAAGCCTTTATCCACTTAAATATAGGGAGGTCATAATAACAACAACAATAATAATAAATAATAGCAATATGTCTGTTGTATAAAAACTATATATTTTTTTTTCCATTACTGCTATACTCATATTATTATCATGGTCACAGTGGCTGATATCTAGTAATGATTTATGCAATAAAGGATACCATAAGGGAAAAGGTTACTCATTTGATAGTTCTCTACCTTTAATATACTTTGCAATCACCTGGGGTGCTAATAAATAATATGCGTTAATCCATTTCTACCTTAAATAACTTTTTTTCAGGGGGTCTGAGGTTAGGTCCATCTGAATTTTGAATATGCTCTCAATGTGATTTGGTTGTACATGTTTAGTGGAACATGCATTGATTAACTTCAGATTATGTTAAAAACAAATGATTTAGGACTGGGTGTGAGAGATTCTGAAAGTTAAGAATAGACTGAAAATAATTATATCCAACATTATCCCATCTCCCATTTAGAAGAATAGAATATATAAAATACACAGAGGGCAGAGTTACCCTGTTGAGGTTATAGTTTCATATTCATATATTTTGGATCAATTCTTTAAGTGAAAAGTTCACAGAAGTAAGAGAAACAGAATACTCACGTTAGCTTGGATGATGACAAAGTAGCGAGTTTTATCTTCATAATTGAGCCTCTTTCTTAACACTACATTTCCAGTCAGCATGAGAGGGATTTCAAAGGTGTCATTGGATGTCTGAAAATAGGAAGATATAGATTTCACATCATTTGAATAGAAAATGAACTACAGAACTCAATACTGTAGCTAAGTCCTCTTGAAAATTATAGATGGTGTGGTCTAATCTGAAAATGGAACATGGGTGCAAGCTTAGTTTAATATTTGTTCACTTCTATAAACTTTTTTCCCCCCAGGGGATTTTACAAGAGTCCTCTGATGATGATAAAACAGAAACTTGTTTCCCACAACAGTTTTTCATTTATTATTAGAGTTACACTTCATAGTCTTGGAATACTTCTACATTGAAGTTCGGGTATCTGGAAATTGGTCTTGTTGCCATAATATATTGTCAACACTTATTTTATTACTGAAGTGTTCAAACATTGCAATTAATGGTTTCTATCTAATATCCTTTTTTAACATTTCAGCATTTTCAAGTATTAAATACAACTACTAACTTGAAACAGCCTATATATGTGAAAAAGCATCTGTGTTATTGGTTAATTTCATTTTACCAACCCTCAAGATAAATGTTATCAACATTCTCAAAGTAGGACTCTTCTAATAAGTGCCACTTTGATATGAACTAATGGTCAATCTAGTTCCTGAAGAAGAATATTACTGGAGTGTGCTTGGAAAAGTCTACCACCAACACATGGAAAATAGATTGTTTTAAGTAAAGACCAAGGGAGACTTTACAAACTTTTTTCTTTGCTCATTTTTTCCCCCAATTAAAGAAGCAATCACTGACCTGCCTTGCATAACCTAGAAGAATGTAATTTAGAAGAATTGTCATATGGGTGCACATTTATCCGTGAACATGTACTCTTTGAGAATATCCTCTGAATCCTTAGAGTGTAAATGAGGTACCCCTTCCTCCTCTGTCATGTGAAGTCTCCCCATCTGTCTCCTGCTGCCACAGTTTTATAAAGAGAACAAAAATATTCAAGTGTGCTCTATTATACTTTAGAATTTACAAACATTTGAATTTTCTGTTTTTTTTTAACTTTTCTCCTATTAATATGATGATTTTTTTCATCCATTCAAGCCTCAGCAAAAACACCTTGGAGTAGGAAAATTTTACCATCATCCCAAACAGGCCTAAAAAGTGCTCTTCATGAGAACAAAAGAGAAAATAAACAACTAGAACTACATCAAACTAAAGAACTTCTGCACAGCAAAAGGGACTATAACAAAACAAATATATATACTACAAAATGGGAGAAAATATTTGCATACCATACATGTGACAAGGGACTGATATACAAAATCTACAAATAACTCATACAACTCAAATAACAAATAACAAATCAACAAATGGGTAAAGGAGTTGAATAAGACATTTCTGCAAAGAAGAGATATTAATGAACAATAGGAACATGAATAAACAAGGAAATGCAAATCAAAATCAAAATGAGATATCACCTTACACCAGTGAGAATGTCCTATAACAAAATGACCAGATGCAAAAAGTGCTGGTCAAGGTGTGGAGAAAAAGGAATGCTTCTACACTGTTGGTAGAAAAGTACACTGGTCCAGCCCCTATGGGAAGTAGTGTGGAGGTTTCTCAAAAGATTAAAAACAGATCTGCCATATGACTGAGCAAATATACTCCTAGGAATCTATCAAAAATACAAATGCACTAATCCAAAGAAAATCTGCACCCCTATGTTCACAGCAGCTCTATTTACAATAGTCAAGATATGGAAACAACCTAAATGCCCCAGAACAGACCAGTGGATCAAGATCTGGTAGATATACACAATGAATACAAATCAACAATCAAAAAAGAAAAACTAAAGTCATTTGCAGGATGGAGTTTGAAGGGATAACACTAAATTATATGTCAGAAAGAGAAATACTGAAAGATGTCACTAATATGGTAAATATAAAGAAACTATACTAAGAATCACAGAAAGACAAACTTAAAAAACAAGCCCTTGAAAAATGACTATAGAACTAAAGCATCTGGGGGTAAAGGTTGGAGGAAGGATAAGGATACAGAGAGAAGGAAGCACAATGGACTATGCTGGTTGACAATGGGTGATCTGGTGATGGTTAACATCTTGTAGCAATACCTGATGGGGAGGAGTCCCATGTTACCTCAATTAAAAGAATTTAAAAAATGGCCTCCCCGGTGGCACAGTGGTTGAGTGCTGGGTTACAAAGCTGCCCACAGCTCTGCAGTGCAGGTTCTATCCCTGGCCACTGGGGAGAGTCCCACATGGCACGCAGACCTCTCCTACCACCTGCTGCTCCCCTCAGCAGTGTACTTTGTCAGTCTGCCTGCTCTGCTCCCCACTCTGACTCTGGTGAATTCTCTCACCTTTCCGTGCTTCTGACTGTACCCAGTGCTTGTATGTATAAATAAATAATTAAATAAATAAATAAACAAATAAATCTTTAAAAATAAATATTTTTTAAAAAGAATTAAAAAAATACAGTGTACGTCATTAAAATAAGACTCCTACCCTGTCAGGGATTAGGTTTCTTCCTGGCAATACACCAATCTAAGGACAATGCCTAAAGTGATTTCCAGGGCCTCCCTGGTGGTGGAAGGGGTTAAAACGCAGCACTATGAAGCTATCTGCAACCACTGCAGGAGGAGTTCAATCCCCCACCAAGGAGGTGACCCATTTGGTGCAGCAGACCTCTCCTGTCTCACCCACTGCTCCCCTCGGCAGTGTATTTACTTCAGTCAGTCTGTCTGTTCTGCTTCCCACTCTGTCTCTGGTGAATCCTCTCACCCCCCAAACCTCTGGCCTGTACCCCAGTTTTGTATGAATAAATCTTTAAATAAAAAATAGTGTCTTTCAACACTCCTGTTCTGACAGAAGTTGTCCTCAGAAAAACACAACGTATTCCACATCCTGATAATATAATTTATAAGAAAAATTTCTTACCATTTAAAAGACCTTATGGTCATTCTTGTATTTTAGTGCAGTTTTGACAATGTAACAGTTTCTCAATAGCTATAGCAAAAGGGCTTTTCTTCCAGCACTGGGACATTTTTCTTTGGTTGTTTTGTGCAGTTGTGATTGTGCATGTGGTTGTGAGCATCAGGTGAAATACCTACGTTGGAGCTGCATTGGATTGTTTCAGAAGAAGGAGGAGGAAAAAGTAGGAGAGGGTAGAGGTGAGGAGGCAAAGGGGAGACATGAAAAAGGGAAAAAAAGGAGGGAGTGCAAAAATGAGAACAAGAGAAGACAGCTGACACATATGGGTCAGTTAAGAAGTGAGAGCTAATAAGATAATGACTAACTCAAATTGCCCATCTCAGGCTCATTGAGGGGAATGTGAGAAGATTAGCTTTTAATATCCAGAGTTACAATATCTTCCTCTTCCTTTTTATTCTCTCTCTCCCCCCATCATTTCTGTCATTTGTATATTTTGTGATTACCCTCTTCAATTCTGAAGGAGTTCTCTCAGTGATATAATTATACTTATTCTTATTTTCCATACAAATTAATTTAGAGGATATTTCTGATCTTTTTTTAGTTACAATTTTCATTTAACATGTAGAATTTTTCAAATAATGTAGTTAGCAATTAGGGATTTTATTGTTCTTCAGAACACTTTTTAATTGAACTCTTATTCACTAAACACATCTTTTATAACTATATAAAATTTTCATTTTGCTAAGTGTCTCATATTGTGATTCAACAGAGGATCTACAATTAAGATTAATACTGTTTAGAACAATTACATAGAGCCTTTGTGTTAAGTAACTAATTTATTATTTGAATAAACATTTATCAGTATACACTGTTTAGCAAATTGTATTGTATTAATCATGAGAGTTAAAAGCAAACTGTGCTTATATTTTTAAGATATTTTTCCTCTAACCAAAAAAAAAAAATGTTGAATGCACTATTCTAGTAATATCTCTAAAACTTCATCTAATGAGAAAACACATAACAGAATTGAGTAAGAAATAATACAGTCTTTAAAAAGTATTATATGGTGACACAACAAAGGTCAATAATTAGCAAAAATTATAGACTGGAAGAATCACAGAAATATGTAATTTAGATTGAAAATTAAAGACATCTATTTCCCAAAATTTGAGAAATTCTTAAAAGTATACATTTCTAGCAAACTCTCAGCTAATTCTGTTACAGATAGCTCAGTTTTTGCTTTAAGAGATACTAGAGGGGCCTCCCCGGTGGCGCAGCGGTTGAGCACTGGGTTGCGAAGCTGCCTGCAGCCTCTGCAGCGCCGGTTCGATCCCCGGCTGCTCCCCGGCCACCAGAGGGTCCCACATGGCGCGCAGACCTCTCCTGCGGCCCGCTGCTCCCCTCAGCAGTGCACTTCGGTCCTTCTGCCTGCTCTGCTCCCCGCTCTGGCTCTGGTGAATTCTCTCACCCTCCCGCGCTTCTGACTGTGCCCAGTGCTTGTATAAATAAATAAATAAATAAATCTTTAAAAAAAAAAAAAAAAAAAAAAAAAAAAAAAACAACTGTTAGAATTAAAAAAAAAAAAAAAGAGATACTAGAGGTGGCTGAGTTAAGCCTAAGTAAGAGTATTGACATTTGCTTATAATCTCAACTCAAAAATTTTTTTCTAAAATATTTTTAAAGATGATTAGCTTAGTATGTCCTGGTTTTGAAGCTAGATATATTAGGTTAATCAACTGACTTAATATCAAGTGGAGATGAACCTTTAAATATACTGGGCCTTCCCGGTGGCGCAGTGGTTTAGTGCTGGGTTGCGAAGCTACCCACAGCCTCTGCAGCACCTGTTAGATCCCCGGCCACTGGTGAAGGTCCCGCATGGCGTGTCAGACCTCTCCTGCCGCCCACTGCTCCCCTCACCAGTGTATTTTGTAGATATGCCTGTTCTGCTCCCCGCTCTCTCTGGTGAATTCTCTCACCCTCCCGTGCTTCTGACTGTACCCAGTGCTTGTATATATAAATAAATCTTAAAAAAAAAATACTGAATGAAAACTTGTCTAAGGTAACAATATTATGAGCATTACATGTTTTCCATTTTTAATAAATACTATAAACTGTTTTGTT